AAAAAAAAAATTAAAACATACAACCTATCAAGACTGAGTCACAAATTTTAAAAATATGAACAGACCTATAACCAGTAAGTAGATTGAAGTAATAAAACTCCCAAAAAGAAAAGCGCAGCCCTGGGGAATTATATCAAACATATAAAGAATCAGTACCAATCTTCCTCAATTCTTCCAAAGAATTAAAGAAAGGAAACACTCTCAAACTCATATGAGGCCAAAATTACCTTGATTCCACAACCAAAGCCAGAAGAAAAGAAAACTAAAGACCAATATGTCAAGTGAATATTGATGCAAAAAAACTTTTAAAAATTTTAGTGAACAGAATTAAATAGCACATCAAAAGGAGTATACATCATGACCAAGTTGGATTTATATTTGGAATGCAAGGATAATTCAACATACAAAAATCAATCAGGTAATACATCACATTAATGAAAGACAGAAACCACATCATTATCTCAAATTATGAAGACAAAGCATTCAAAAAACTTCAGCAACATTTCCTTATTAAAAACACTCAACAAACTAGGAATAAAAGGACAATACTACCACATGATAGAGACCTCACATTAAATGCCCACAACTACCATTGTGTTTACTGGTGGAAGACAAAGCTATTCCTGAAAGTATAGGAGAAAGTCAAGGATGCCCACTCTTGCCACTTCTGTTCAACATAGTACTGGGCCAGAGCAATTAGACAAGAAAAAGGCATTCCAATTGGAAAGGAGGAAGTAAAATTATTTCTGTTTACAGATCATATGATTTTATATGTAGAACACCCTAAAAATGCCACCAAAAAACCTGTAAGAACTAATAAGTGATTTCAGCATTTTGATGCAACATTAACACACAAAAATCCATTGCAGCTCTGTACATTAACAATGACCAATATGGAAAGGAAATTAGGAAGAAAATCTCAAGCCAGGGGTGGCAGCTTACACTTGTAATCCCAACACATTGGGAGGCTGAGGCAGGAGGATCACTTGAGACCAGGATTTTGAGACCAGCCTGCCCAACATCGTGAAATTCTGTCTCTACTTAAAAAAATTAAAAAGAGAATTTTATTTATCATAGCATCAAAAAGAATACAATACTTAGAAGTAAACTTCACCAAGGAGGCAAACAACTAATACGCTAAAAACTACAAAACAATGTTACAAGAAACCAAAGAGTATACAAATAAATGGAAAGACATCTCCATGCATGTGGATTTGAAGATTTAATATTGTTAAAATGTCCATATTACCTAAAACAATTTCCAAATTCAATACAATCCCTATTGCAGGATTATTCCCAATAGCCAAGAGATCCAACCCAAATGTCCAGGGGGGATGAAAGGATAAAATGCGGTATATACATACAATGGAAGACTAAGAACCCCTCAGAAAGAAGGAAACCATGTCACATGCTAGAGCACGGATGAATCTTAGGAACATTATGCTACGTCAAATAAACCAGTCACAAAAGGACTTAATAAGCCAATCACTACTTTCCTTCATATGAAGTCTTTAAGGTAGTCAAAATCACAGAAACCTAAAGGAGTGGTTGCCAAGGACTGGGGTGGGAGTAGGGGTAAATTAGTTTTTAATACGTTTGGAATTTCAGTTGTGAAAGATGAAAAATTTCTAAAGATCTAAATTTCACAATGACTAGTTAATGGATTTTTTTTTTTTTTTTTTTTTTTTTTTTATATATAATGGTTTATTTTTTCAATTTTTGGAGACAGAGTCTTCCTCTGTCATGAGGCGCCAGGCTGGAGTGCAGTGGCGCAATCCTGGCTCACTGCAACCCCCACCTCCTGGGTTCAAGCAATTCTGCCTCAGTCTCCTGAGTAGCTGGGACTACAGGCACCTGCCACCATGCTCAGCTAATTTTTGTATTTTTTAGTAGAGACAGGGTTTCACCATGTTGGCCAGGATGGTCTTGATCTCTTGACCTGCCCACCTTGGCCACCCAAAGTTCTGGGATTACAGGCGTGAGCCACCGCGCCTGGCCAGTTAAGGGTTTCTTAAACGTGATATCAAAACCACAAGTAACAAAAGAAAAAATAAATAAATAGGACTTTAGTCAAAGTAAAATCTTTTGTGCTTCAAAGAGCATCATCAAGAAAGTAAAGGACCGGGCGTGGTGCCTCACGCATGTGGTCTCCGCACTTTGGGAGGCTGAGGTGGGTGGATCCCAAGGTCAGGAGATCAAGACCATCCTGGCCAACATGGTGAAACCCTGTCTCTACTAAAAAATACAAAAAATTAGCTGGGCGTGGTGGCATGCCTATAGTCCCAGCTACTCAGAAGGCTGAGGCAGGGGAGTCGCTTGAATCTGGGAGGCAGAGGTTACAGTGAGCCAAGATCACGCCACCACACTCCAGCCTGGTTACAGAGCAAGATTCCATCTGAAAAAAAAAGAAAAGAAAGAAAATAAAAAAAGTAAAAGACAACTCATAGAATAGGAGAATATTTCTGCAAATTGTGTCTTGTAAAGCATTTATAGCTGGAATACATAAAGAATTCTTATAACTCAATGACAAAACACAAACCAATTAAAAATGTTGAGTACACATTACTCCAGAGAAGATACACAAATGGAGAATAGGTACGTGAAAGAAGTTCAACATCAGGGAAACACAAACGCAAACTATGATGAGATGTAACCTCAGAACCACTAGGATGACCTGATTAAAAAGATTTGATAATAAATATTGGCTGGAATATGGAGAGAAGCTGGGACCTTCACACAGCTAGTGGGTATATAAAATGGTACATCTACACTGGAAACAGTCTGCACCTTCTGAAATAGTTAAACAGAGTTTCCATATGACCCATCAATTCTGTTCTTAGGTATATAGCCATGAGAAATGGAAACACATCCCCACAAAACCTTGTACACAAATGATCTTCACAATAGCCAAAAAGTAAAAACAACCCAAATGTTCTCAACTGATAAATGGGTAAATTTTAGTATATCCCTCAATGGAATATTATTCAGTAATAAAAAGATTTGATGTAATGATACTAAAAACATGGATGAACCTTGGAAATATTCTAAGTAAAGAGAAGACATGTGGAAGACACACATTGTATGTTTCATTCATACAAAAGTCCAGTGTATGTAAAACTATGTTGAAAGTGAATTAGTTACATAGGGCTAGGGAAGATGGAGGTAATGGCTAAAGTATGAGGAGTTTCCTTTTGAGATGATAAAAATCTTCTAAAGTTTATTGTAGTGATGGCTGCAAATTCTATCAATATGCTTAATACGACAGTTTCAAATTCTATGAAAAAACATGCTATGTGAATGTCTTATTAAAACTTTTAAAAATTCGCTGAAGCAAATGGTAGAATGTTAGCACGGGCCACATCTAATGGGTGGCTATATTATTCTCTATTTTTATGTGGTTGAAACATTCCTTTTTTTTTTTTTTTGAGACAGAGTCTTGGTCGTGTCACCCAAGCTGTAGTGCAGTGGCATGATCTCGGCTCACTGCAGCCTTCGCCTTCAAGGGTTCAAGCAATTCTCCTGCCTCAGCCACCCAAGTAGCTGGGATTACAGGTGCCACCATGCCTGGCTAATTTTTTGTGTTTTTAGTAGAGACAAGGTTTCATCATGTTGGCCAGGCTGGTCTCAAACTCCTGACCTCAGGTAATCTGCCTGCCTCAGCCTCCCAAAGTGCTGGGATTACAGGTGTGAGCCATCCTGCCAGGCCTAAAATTTACATTTTTCAAAAAAGTAAAAAGCAGTGGGTGTGACTGCAGAATGTCTTATGAATGGAGCATCTGTAGCACTGCATGTTGGCTCACACAGAAGCTCCCAGTCCTGAGCAATGCAGGGAAAAGCATGAGATGGGGTAGGAGTTGACATGGCCCAGCTGGCTCAGATGACACATGACGGTCCCAGTGGCATGACTTGGTTTGTGTGATGTGTGCTTTGGGGTTTTATTTTGGCACATTATGAAGGAGTGAAGCCTGTTTACAATCGGTTTCTATATATGCTAATGAAGGGCAAGAGGATGAAGCAATTGACTTTGACCATCCACTGACATTGATTAGGCGTCTTATGATCGTATCTTCACCTGTGAGATTTCTATGTTGTTTGTGTTTAATGTCAGAGAATATCTTTCAATCGCTCATACAGTTTATGCAAATACTGCATACGTGATAAACGTCCCTACAACATGATCTTTGGAATGAACTAAAACAAAGGAGATTCCGAGGAAGGACCGTGGCGTGAGAGGTGGAATTCATCCCTTGGCGGACTGAGATGAGGATGGAAAATGAACCATGGGTAAATACAGCCTTAGTCCGCATACATTTGCCTAAAATGGGCTCACAGGGCACAGGTGTGGAGACCACGCATGCTCAATGACATCATAACTCAGAATCAGTAACCCAGCGTACCAGCTCCCTCACAGAGATGTGCTAGGATTGGGTCCACTGCTGAGTGTCAGCGTCCAGTGATGGTCAGCAACTCTGACAGCCCTGGCCGGATATCAGCCGATTGGCCAGGAGGGGACAACCTGGCCCAGATCCCCCAAAGCAAGTGATTCTCACTAATACCACCCAGGGCACCTAGACCTGAAAGACATCATGGGATGTTGAAGGTAGAATCAAAGTGCAGCTAGAAAAGGGCAGCCACCTGGAGCAAGTCCATCCTGGCAGCTGTCAGAAAGCACAGCATGTTCACTTCCGGGGGGCCAGCCTTGCTCACATCAGATGGAGGTTCCCAGGAGGCCATGGCGTCTTCAGGGATCTTATCCAGCAGTGAAGGGAGGGGGCTCTAGAGGCAAACATGCCCAGGGCGCCCCAGCTGCACTGGCTCCCAGGGAGTGACCTGGGTGCATGAGCAGGGAGGCCAAGCTCACTGAGAGCCTCAGCAAACCCCCAGCACCTGCTGTGAGTGAGCTGCCTGGCTTCCCTGAGCATGGATGTGATGACGTCACAGGTGTTTGCACATTCCCTTTCACTGTGTCCCATAGCACTCCTGGTTCACGTGTGATACGCTGCACTTTGGGTGGAGTTGTGCTGACCGTCGTAAAGGGCTGAGCCCTTCTTCATTCTTTCCCATGGCTCTGATGCAGTTTTCACATACCAGTTAGTAAGGAAGTTCCTGAGATGATGGACCTTGTGCTAGTCACACAGGGCTGCTAAGGTGCAGTACAGACTTGGGGGATGGACCAGGCATGTATTAAGCAAAGAAATGTATTTGTCACAGTCTGGGGGCTGGAAGTCCAAGGTTAGGGTCCCAGTGTGCTGAGGTTCTGGTGAGGGCTCTCTTCCTGGCTTGCAGACGGCTGCCTTCTCACTGTGTCCTCGAGTCAGGGAGAGAGAGCTCTGTGGTCTCTGCTCCTTACCAGGGCCCTAATCCCAACATTAAGGCCCCACTCTCATGGTCTCCTCTACCCCTGAAGAACTCCCAAAGGCCCCATCTCCAAATACCATCATGTTGGCAGTTAGGGCTCCAGGAATTGTGGGGGACACACGTTCAGTATATCAGAGCCCCCCAGTCAGCCCCACTGTCCTCGTTTAGGGGCAGATTTTAGGCCTCAGGTGGGACACAGAGGTGGAGGAAGCACAGGTTCTGCCTCCTGGGAATGCTTCAGCCAAAACAAGGACAGGGACATGGGGCAAACAGCCAGTGGGGTAACCAGCAGGAGTCCCAAGGTGTCACTAAGCTGAGGTGTCACTTTCATCCTTAGATGAGGAAGTTGGCCGAGCACCCACACAAGCCAGAATACAGACCACGTTCCCTTCAAACACGGCTCACTTACCATTCCTCAACCCTGCAAAGGGGAGGTGCTACCTCGTCTCCTGAGGATGGCCCTGAAGGTAGAGGAGTCACTGGAGCTGCACACATCACCCACCAGTGACTCCTCACTCCACATTTTCCCTGATGGGCTGATGTGCACTGAGCTGGGGAAGCCCTGGAAGATAAACTCTTCTTCCCAAAGTCCACAGAGGGCAAGCCTCCAACACTGCTCACAGGAGCAGAAGGGATGGGGCAGAGGGGCATCTGTCCAGCTGACTGGTGTGTTCTGTGGGTGGATGGGGCCAGAGAGGACCCAAACATGGCTCCCTTTGTCACTAGACAGAGGGGCCAGACCACCGTGTACCGGACAGCTGTGCCCCACCAGCCTTTGCTGCTGGGCCAGCCCCCAGCACCATGACCACAGCTCTGCATACAGGGAGTGCTGGGACCAGTGCTCTGGCAGTCACCCTGGTCCTGAGCCAACAAGGGCCCTGGGGAGGAATCGGAACTCAGACGGTGAAGAAGGTGTTGGCCAGGAGGGAACCGGGGCGGGTGCCGGGTCCTGTCTATGCTGGGATCTGAGATTCTGAGAGGTGGGTTAGGGGTAAGGGGGTAGAGGTGGGCCACATGGGGTGAGGGGAGTTCAGCAGAGATGGGGAGGACAGGACAGTGTGGGAAAGAGCAGAGGGTCCTCCCCAGCCTCAGTCCGTCTCCTGTGCAGTCCTCATCCCACTCTTAGACTCCGGAAGTCTCCCTTCAGCCAACACCAGGCCCCCGACTCCCAGGGCACTTCCCAGACAGCCAGTGCCACATCCAGGCAGCCCCTGCTCTGCCCTTGAGGTCTGTGCCTGGCAGAAGGGCGGCTCACCCTCGGCCCCTCTCTGCCTGGGTCCCAGCTATCCCTGGCGCTGGGACCATCAGACACACCCACCCTGCGCCTGGCAGGCTGGCCATGCTTGTGCCTATTGGTGATGGTGGGTTGGGAGGGAACTGTTTCAGATACCAATGTAAATCTGTCTGCATCAATTCCACACAAGAGTTCAGTCATCATATGGGAAGGGAATCAGCTGTGGGGGGCTCCATGCAGGACCCCCAGGGCCCCTGAGGCCAGTCCCTGTGGCCACAGCAAGGAGCATCTGCTTCCGCCAGCTGGACAAGACTCTGTCCTGCCCAGAAACCGGCAGAGGGACTTCCCCTGCTCCCCACCTATTGTCGTATCCCAAACACACCCATGTGGATGGACACCTCGACATCTCCCCTCAGCCCAAGGCCCGAGCTCTTCCTGATGAGGGTTAAGCAGGAGCGGCCGCCTCTCCCTGTGTCCATGTTGCAGGCAGCTGCCTTCTCCTCAGCTCCCACCGGGCAGAACAAGAGCCAGCCAGCTCTCTCCATCCCAGGATTTCCCAGGGATGCTGATAACTGAAGCAGGTGGGGCTTTGTGAGTGGTTGGTGGGAGGGATCAGGGCTTCCTGAGCATCCGTCAGTCCCTGAAGCATCTGAAGGGGCAGCCTACACCTGGAGGAACAAGTGGGGCTGGCCCCCGTGGGTCCCCAGTGCCTGGCATCTCCCGGTCCCTCTGCTTTCCCTCACAGACCCCCTCCACTGAGCAGCACAGCCCTGAGGACAGAGGCAGCAACCCGGAGAGCATTTCCAACACAACGATATTTATTCATATTTACATATGAGACCCCCAAGGTGTTGCTCCTCACCTCCTACCCCCAGGCCCTCCCTTCCTGTTCAGCCACCATCTCCCTCCCCCACCCTCCAAAGCTAAGGCCCAACAAGATCAGCACTGGGGTGAAGGTTTTGTCTGCTTTGGGGCATTGGATGTCAGAGCCCCACCCTCAGGGATTGGCACCAGAGAGCCTGCCCTGTCCCCCTACTGGCTACAAGCCCACTACTTCTTCCTGGAGACCAAAGGGGTCACCCTTTCTCTTTTGGGACTGTGAGGGGCCACCCAGTCCCCAAGCCAGGGATTGCGCCCCAGAGACTCTGAGCCCAGGCCCTAGGTGGGGTGTCTGTTCACCAGGGGATGGACCTCTGAAGAGAGCTCGCTTCTTGGACTTGGTGGCAGGAGCAGATGCTGGGCTGAGGCCTCCTCTCTGAGCAGAGGGAGACTGAGGAGCTCCCTGGGGTCCCTGTCCTTCTGGGCTGAGAAGGCCTGAGGCAGGGACAGGGCTCTGGGGCAGCCTCCAGGGCAGCAGCATGTGCTGGGAACCCAAGAGGAAGGCCAGGCTGGGGAGCTCCTCCTCCTCCTCACTTGACCCCTGAGCCAGCCCACGTGACTCCCTGACAGGACACCCTCCAGGGAGACCCAAGGTGTCCTTGGTCCCCAGACCAGGGCAGGTGGGTCTGTGGTCCTGGGGAGGACAGTTTGGCCGGGCAGCCCTCAGCCTGCGGGAATCCAAGCTCTCCAAAAGCATAACAGGGTTTTTGGACCTGGCCATGCCAGTGCATGCTCTGCCTCGTCCCTGAGGGTCCTGGGCAGCCGTCTGGGGTGGGCAGGATTCCACGCTGACCCTTTGCTGGGGTTCAGGGACATCTCTCTCTGTTCCTTGGCCTGCTGCAGACTTAGAAAGACTTGGGTACAACCGGGCGGTGCCATGACTAGGGTCTGCCCTCGCACACCGTTCCTGCAAGGATAGGCGGCGCTTCTCCGCTACCTGCGGGAGGAAAGGGGGCACTGACTGACGCTGCCCCAAGTGTGAGCAGGGCCCAGGGTGGCAGAGACCAGGGCACTTGGGCGGCAGGCAGGGAAGCCTGAGGCAGCTGGGCTTCCTGTCAAAGAGAGGTTGTGGCTCTGCCGGGCATCCCGCTGGGCCTCACTGCAGTTTGCATCCTGACTCCCCTCCTGGCTTCTCTCCATCCTGCTCCATCTGAACCTGCACCTCCCCACCTCGGAGTGGCTCCCCAAGAAGCCGAGCATCCCCGCAGAGTGGGGTAGACAATCAGGTGGGGCTTGTGTCCCAGGTCCCTCCTGCCCCCGGGGTACCTGGGTTCTCCTCCCTCCCTGCTCTACCTGGGCAAGGGTGAGTCCCTCCTCCTGCTCCAGCTCCTGGCTTAGGGCCAAGAAATCCATCTGTGGATCTGGGGAAAGCAATTCTTCCAGGAATCGGGGGTGAATGACGGCCTCCACCTGGAAACAGGAGGAAGACAGCGTGAGGTTCCTGGGCAGGGAGTAACCTGGAGGAGATGCAGAAAGCAGCGAGTGCCCCGTCCCCACCCTTCTGGAGCTGTGTCTTATCATGGTGACCACCAGCTCCGCACACAGACCACAGACCTAGTAGCATCCACACATGCAGACAGAGACACACAAACCACACACAGACCCACATACGACACAGGAAAATAGACACAAGTAACACACACACGCCACATTCATAGCCACACAGACACACAAAAACACACAGTAAAAAATTACAGGCACAAACACACAGCACAGCTTAATTCCAAGGACCTGCGAGTGCCACCCCCTGGAATTCTGCAGACCCCAGCACTTCAGGCCAGCCCACCTTGGTGACGAAGTCTTTCTGGGAACACAGCTTGTCAACATAGCTCAGGAGGCCTGGGTCTAGAAGCATCCCGTCCTCTTCCTGCTCCACTTCGCCTTCTTCCCACTGTGCCTTGAGCTCCCCCATGGCCCCATCGGGAGGCCCCAGCAGCTCCTCCATGATGTCCACATACTCCTGCACCACTTCAGGGGGGATCTCCTCCGGGGCCTTGGTCTCCGCTGGCTTCTGGGGCCTGGGTGGTGGCAGGCAGGCAGGCGGGGCCTTGGGGCCGGCCTTGCTGGGAAGGTACACTGAGGCAGGGAGGGAGGAGGACGGGTGTGGTGAGGGCTGCTCCTCCTGCCTGCACCACACGGGAGGGCAGGGCTCAGGGACGTGAAGTGGGTCCCAGCTGGGTCAGGACCACCTGAACCACAGTGCCCCAGAGGAGATGCCGCAGGAGGGGCGCATGTGAGACATCATCCTTTGGGAGGAAGTTTGGAGCCACAGATATGCCGTGTACTCTACCTGCTCATCCCTGCTTTCTGGGCGGATTGTATGTTGAGTTTCGGACAGGCGAGGGGAGAGTAGCTAGGAAACCTCACCAGGTCAGTACCCTCCTTCATGACCACAGGCCGCCCACGAAGTGGGTGTTGACCTTGTCAGTACCCAACATATGCCCTTGGGAGCTGTCCTGTTGGAGGAGCACATCCCTCTCTTGAAGGGAAGCATGGGGTGTGGGGACAGTGGCCTCCCTTGGCCCCTCTGGGCTTTGCTGTGGCTCCTGTGGGAATGTGGGAAGCCGTACCTGGCTGCTTGACCACCTCAGGGGCTGATGGTCTTCGAGGCTCAAGCCTCGGCAGTGCTGGAGGAGGCAGGCACTGGGGCCCCTTCATCCACTGCGACTTCTGAATCTGCATCTCCTCCTCAGCCTCAAACTCCAGGAACCTGGGGTGAAGAAGGTGCAGGCCGTGCTGAGAGGGTCCAGGCCCCCTGCCCCAGGACCAGGCAGCAGCCGATGGCAGGAATGGGAAGGAGTGCCTCGGGCAGGTTGTCCAGGCCCTCCCTGGGGCCGGTCCCCCAGTCCCAGAGGGAGCTGCTCCCAGAGTTCTGGGCTCTCCCTCCCTCACCAGGCCCCTGCAGAGCCCATGGCATCAACAGGGCTTCCTGACTCAAATCAGGGCCACGAGGCCCAGGAGGGCACCAGGGGGACCCCTCCTCCAGGCTTCAGCTGGCCAGGGGTGGGGTTTATGGCAGAAGGGGTCAGGGATGTTGCCCAGATGCTGGAGTCCTGAGGTTGGGACTGTGGGTCCCTGTAGGATAACCCAGGATGACGAGGCCTGAGAGACCCCTGGTCAGGAGGAAGCAAAAGCTGGGCCCAAAAGACAGGGCCCGTTTCCCCTGAGGTTGCTGGTCTGTCTTAACAGAGGGGACTGCCCAGGAGCAAAGGTAGGCAGGCCAGAGATGGGTCTCATGGTGTCCTGGATGCAGGTCTCCCCTGACCCAAGGCAGGTTTCTCCAATCCTGGCCAGGCCGGGATGGGTGAAAACCGACTTCTGTCCACTGCTGTGAGGAGAGTGCACCCCGCTCTGTCTATAGTCGCCAGCGCCCCTTCTCCCCATCCTCACAGCTGGTGGTGACCACCTTTGGGCTGGGATGCTGGCTGCTCCCTCCATGACCCCCAGTGTCAGGCAGGGATTGGCCGCAGGCCAGGCATGGCGTGGCTTCCCTCCAGGGCCGGTTAGAGACCCCAGAGCACTCTAGGAGGGAGGAACAGCTTCCTGAGGGAGCCAGGGGCCCAGGAGGGCCTGTCTGTCCACACCCTCCTCATGCTCCACGCTGAGAAGCCACCATGGCCACCAGGCCTGTGTCACTCTCCCTCACCCTGCCATGTGGGCTCTGCCCCTGCACCCCAGACTCACTTTCCCGCCATCTCATAGTAGATCATCCGGTCAAAGTTGCTTGTGTGCTGCCATTCCTGCACTGCCCGCCACAGTCCCTCCTCCAGGGTCATGCGGGGCTTCCACCGGGCCAGGGATCGGAGAACTGGGCTGTAAGGCGGTGCAGTCAGTCCCAGTCCACAAGCCCACCCTCCATCCCAAGCCCATCTGGTGCCAACAGCCGGCCCTTGTCCTCCCCACACCTGTCCTGCCATCTGTCCCTGTGCAGTTTTCTCCCATGTGGGCTCCTCAGCCTCCAGGACATGGCCCCAAGATCAAACATCAACACAGGCCAACGGGTGGCCTCTATGACTGCTCCTCGAGTCCTCAATGTTACAGTGTTGACAAGTGAACTCAGTACTTTGGGTGGAATGTGTGTGTCCCCAGCATTCCTGTGCTGAAGCCCTCAGCCCCAGTGTATCCATTCTTGGAGTCAGTCAGGATTAGAGCAGGTCATGACGGTGGATTCCCGTCATGGCATCTGAGCCCTGATAAGGGCAGGACGAGACACCAGGGCTCTCCCTCTCAGCCGAAAGAGGACACAGCCAGAGGCAGCCCTCTCCAGCCAGGACACCAATCTGCTGTCGCCTTGATCTGGGACCTCTATCCTCTGGAACTGGGAGATGTGACTGTGTCCTGATAAAGCACCCAGTCTATAGGATTTGTTATGGCGGAGTTGAGCTGACTGAGACAGCGCGCACACAGAATGTCCGGGGAGCGAGGGTTAATGTGCAGGTTCCAGGGCCACAGGACTGCGCATTTAACCAGCTTCCTGGGGACTCGGGAGCAAGGCAGCCCCTGGGGACGCAGCCTCAGGGTCCTGGAGAGGAGAGCAAACCAGAACCAAGCAGAGTGGCATCCAAGCCCA